ACAAAATTAAATGCTTTATCATAAGTCTTCAGTGTGCTTTTATATATTGATATGCATTATACCTTCAAAAAGTACATTTCCAAATTTGGTGAACCTGATTTTTTTTTTTTTTTTTTTAAATTAAACACTGTCAATATGGTAGGACACTAGTATTCTGAGGATTACTGTTTGGGAAACACCTGCTGAACTCAGTAATATTTGAGACACAATCACAAAAAAATAGAAGGAATACTTCACATTAAAAGTTTCATCTCTCTTACCTTTCTAGCTGGTGGGCCATGAGCTTTATTTACTCAGCTGCCAGGAATCCCTCAACTCTTATCAAGTAAGCAGTGCTTCTTACATTTCCATCTAAGTCTTCCTAGGGCAAAGGAGAGGCAGAAAAAGAGTGAATTCGTTATCCTGCGGAATCTAAAGAAATAGTCTCATGCAGTTCAACTCCCTGGTGGAATAATGGTTAAGCACTACTAGGCTGCTAACTGAAAGGTCAGTGGTTCAAACCTACCAGACACTCTGGGAGAGAAAAGACCTGGTGATCTGCTTCTGTAAAGCTTACAGCCTAGGAACCCTATGGGGCAGTTCTACTCTGTCACACTGGGTCACTATGAGTCAGAATCAACTTGTCAACACACAATACTACAAAATTTAAAAAGTATTTTATTTTATATCTTTAAAAACGCATGTGACTTCTGCCTTCTACTCCATACTATTTAATATAAAAATTAAGGCTCCTTACAAAATCTGCAATGCTCCAGAAAGACGTTTATTCTATGGATTCTCATAATTCCTAGCACATTGCTATGTATCAGAGGTATAATAGTGTCAGGATGGAAATAGGGCAATGGAACCTTGGTGAAACGTGGAAGACAAAAAATGAAGCTTTTTCCCACGACAGACATGGGGCGGTTGGGGGGAGTCAGAGATGATAGATGAAATGGCACTGTGGGACCTAAACATCAAAATTCTTACAGATTATAGATTTTATTAAGTCAGTACTATACCATAATATCCACGGGACCCAGTATATGTACTTCATATTTGGAAACAGCATATTTGACTTTTTTAATACCTGTTTATCAGTTAGGATTAGGGTCAGTTGTGAGTAACAGAAAACTCAAAATAATAATGGCTTACGTGATTCAGAAGGGTAAACACAGGCAGTTCAGAACCATGGTCACCAGGAAGCCAGGCTCCTTCTACTTTGTTGCTCTGCCGTTCTCAACGCATGGCTTCCCCTTTGTGGTTTAAAATAACTGCTCAAGCTCTAGCCATGACATCTGCTGATTAGACAGCAGGAAGGAGAAAGGAGAGATGAACATAGAGCCTCCCTTCAAAGAAACTTTTCTGAAACCTCACAGGAAAGTTCTATTCCACTGTATAGAACTTGGTCACATTTCAGCTATATGCCAAGCTAAAAATTGGAGCTTCTACGATAAGGAAAAAAAGGGAATGAATATTGGTGGACAATTAGTTGTTTCTGCCATCATACTCCATCTCATCCTAAAATGACTGGATATCTCACAGAGATGCTTTGGCAGTCTACTGAAGGGAACTTTCAAAAGCAGAAGATCCCGTCAGTGGCCAAGAACAAGACAATGTTCATAAAGACTTCTCTAAATAAGCAAACTCAATCTGTAGCTGACGGAGCAGAAACAAGGGAAAAATATGAAGACCAGAATGACAATGTAAGAGTAAAGAAACAACCTAATTAGCTGTAGTTTGGGAAGGTAAACACATATCAGCAGTTCACAAAACTTAGAAATGACAAGGGACCATTATGTAAGTCACAGAGTATCCAAGGTGAGATTGGCTAAGAACTTGGCAGAAAACTCAGTTACCAACTGCACTGGGAAAAGGCAGTGATCCAGGGGGCAAGATGTTAAAAGGGAAAGTAGACTTTCCTCTACTATTACCTCAGGGCTGAGATCTCATTACTAGGCCATGTATGAACTTGCCATGTATGAACTTCGGAAATTTCCCTATCGCACAGACTGTTGGAAAGATGGATTGTACTTTACTTTGAGTAAGGTTGGCTGAAACAGCCTTAATATATTTGAAACTTTGATGTGCATGCCAGAAGCTAGAAAGATTCTCATTTCAAAGTTGGCAACAAAATTGTTTTATCTACAGGCTGTGCTATAAAGGGAAAAGGACCCGAATAGGACATTTGGTTATACAAATGCAAAATGGAGACTATAAAACAGAGCAGCAATTTAAAGAACAAATTGCTCTATGGGATAATGTAAACATGCACATCTTCTATGTACAGATACATCTCTGAAAACTGTTTCA